GTACACCGGAGATAGAGCAACAATGCCAGGTAGCTTTTCATATCTAGCTTCTGATTATCTGTAGAGAAAAAAAAACCCAGATGACTTTTGTATTGCTTTAAGAAGAAGTCTACGCTTAGTAATCTAAAATATAATTATCCGAATACAGAGATGACTTCGATCATTCAAAGCTTCAATCAGGAGCAGTCCACTAGAAATTTCAACGTAATGAAAACTAAGTTTCATAATGACTAAATAAAAGCAGTTGGTAATCATGCATAACTTTATCAAAATTAAACCATTATATCCTATATGTCATAGCGATTCCAGTAGTGGCTATATTATATCACGATTTACATGATTTATCTATTTAATCTTCTTTCTCATAGTGTTTCGTGCTCCACAATGAATCGCAGATCCTACCATTGTTCAAAATTTAAATCTTTTACGCACCGACTAGATATTTCATAATAAAACGTAAACAATCCGGTACTTAAACGCATGGTATTTTAATTGTCTTTTACACACCAAAATGAAGTTATAGTTATAGGATTTGAAGAATATGCAGCACTAGTGCTACTAATTTATTCCCATATTTATAGGATTTAAAGAATATGCCGCACTAGTGCTATTGATTTATTCCCATATTTATAGGATTTGAAGAATATGCTGCACTAGTGCTATTGATTTATTCCCATATTTATAGGATTTGAAGAATATTCCGCACTAGTGCTATTGATTTATTCCCATATTTATAGGATTTGAAGAATAGGCAGCACTAGTGCTACTAATTTATTTCCATATTTATAGGATTTGAAGAATAGGCAGTACTAGTGCTACTAATTTATTCCCATCTTTATAGGATTTGAAGAATATGCAGCACTAGTGCTACTAATTTATTCCCATATTTATAGGGAATTTATAGTGCTACTAATTTATTCCCATATTTATAGGATTTGAAGAATATGTAGCACTAGTGCTACTAATTTATTCCTGTGAATTATTCAGCAGATAAGCGGTTTAAGATGCTAAAATAAATATGAAGTCTAATCTGCCATTAGATTCACCGCTTGTTACTGACTTATACCAATTTCGGGGTATTTGTTACTGAGTTATACTAATTTCGGGGTATTTGTTACTGAGTTATACTAATTTCGAGGTACTTCATCTGTCTTCAGTAATGCTGGATAAGGGAAAATCGGAAACAAACTAGTCTTCTTATAGTAGTGAAACGTATAATAGATTTATATCTATATATGGCATTTTAAGAATATGCAACATTGATGTTCCTAACTATGACTAAACTATAACATGGTTACAACACTTTAGTAGTTTCAAGAATTTTATCTAATTTCAGATTGCTACAAAACACTTTTTGTTCAAAGAATATAATAACATGTTTTATTAAAAAACTCACGAAATATTTGTAAATATGCAAGTGAAATCACCCATTCTTTCTAACGGTAATATTTTAAACGTTTAATATTTGTAGAAACTTAGGAGTCTCGTGTTAGTTAGGTCCGGCAATTCTTAATTGTGTTTACGGAAGTGACCAGGATGACGTATTCAATTTGTTGAAAGCTTTGGAGTCTCTGTATATTTCTCTTGCTAGCAAGGTACGTCAATTGTTTAAGTATTGTTTACGGAAGTGATCACAGTGATAACATTCAATTTGTTGAAAGGTTTTGTATCTCTTCATATTAGTCTTGTCAGTAAAGTACGTCAATTGTTCAAGTTTGTTTACGGAAGTGACCAGCATGATACAATTCAACCTATGGATTTGACATCTGTACATTAGCCTTGACTAAATATTACTGAAGTTTTAAAATTCAGTATATGCGTGTGATGATTATGATGAAAGGTTTCTATCGTTAACATGTCACCACTTTTAGGTTATTGTTTGGGAGTAAATGTTCAAGCACGTTTTTAAACCATCTGACTGATTTGATACAAACTTAAGGTTCAGTAAACCTAACTTGTGATTTTTGATTTTAATGTTTTTAAAACGTTTGATAGATGTTACTTACTGCGGAGAATTGCCAATTCATTTTATACTTCAGGATCGCTTAATTTTCTCTCACTACCCATATTGAGACATTAAAATTCTAGCTGATACGAGTACAATATTCCAGTGCGAGAAGTAAGAAAATTAATTTTTCTAGTCAAGATGATAAAAATTCAAGTTTAAAAGTTTAGTTTCTACATTGACATTGGTCGAACCCAAGTTCTTAAAGTTCTCTATGGCAACGCTGGTGAAACAAATTGTTGTGAAGTGTAGGTTTTTTATTCATTTCTAAAATCATACTGTACTTATCAAATATGTTCATGTCACTTCAATAATAGCGGAATACCTCTTCAAAAACACCTTGTCAGGTAAGAAGTTTGGTATTTGTGAATGTCATTGATAAAAAACAAAGAAACAAACTTAGTCTTATAATATTCTAGTGTGTTACAGTACAGATGTTTTTACTACGGTAGTGTTCAAACAAACAAACTTAGTTTTAAAATTAATTAGTGTGTTACAGTACAGTTGTTTTTACTACGGTAGTGTTCAAACAAACAAACTTAGTTTTATAATTAATTAATGTGTTACAGTACAGTTGTTTTTACTACGGTAGTGTTCAAACAAACAAACAGTTTTAAAATTAATTAGTGAGTCACAGTACAGTTGTTTTTACTACGTTGTGTTCAAACAAACAAACTTAGTTTTATAATATTCTAGTGTTACAGTACAGTTGTTTTCACTACGGTAGTGTTTAAAGATTGCCGTGAAAAACTTCACTCTCTATATATTTAATTATTAAGTTTTCATTTTTCATTAAATTATTTTGTAAGAATGAAAGTTTCCATCTTCTAGTAAGAATTATAATTGTCAGCTTTATGTTGGTCATTCACTATTTGTTGTCAGATTCGGAGGAAGATTTATTGTTATCCATGTCACTCTTAGTGTCTGGATGGATTAATTTAACAAGAGTATAAAAACCCATTTAAAGATTGAAATGTTGACCTATCTCACAGAGGTGGAAAATTACACAGCTTGTCGCAACCTTTTTCTGAAAAGTACTATGTCTTGTCGTAACATACGTTCCCTGTTTATGTTCAGCGTTCTTCTTATTTAAAGGTAGCACAGAAGTAATATAAATGACACTCTGTAACTATCATATCAAAAATACCAGAGTATAAACCATTGATGTGCCAGAGAAGCCGTGCGCATAATTTGTCAAAGTATGACTATAAGAAATGTGTTCAAGACTTTAAATTACTCCATAGAAAGTTAGCTAAAATAATGTTTAAGATGTAAACGTTTACGACATGCGAAAAGTTAATTCATTATCCTCATAAGTTGATATGCTAATAAGAAACCCCATACTTAATTCATGTTCTGTAGGGTTTTTATTTAAAAAAATAGTTATACATGGTGCACTGTTTTAATATAAAGACTTATATTATGATGAAATATCAGTTAATATATTAACTGCGTGATTTAGAAAGCTTGATATTTTTTGTCATAAAATCTGAATAATTTTAATCGTCAGTCAAGTTGTTGAAACATTCTATTTTCGATAGGCTGAGCGGGGTAAACTTGACTACCATCTATCAATCGAAAATGTGTGTCCTTAACCAAATTGATTTAATTGGGGAAATATAAAATCAACAGATTACACCAATAATAAAACCTTGCTCTGCATTGTTCAATTCAGAGCTATACACACTTTGTATTTGTAATAAAGGTGTGTTAACCTTCGTATTATAGATCATTGTGTCTTTTCTCTTTTAAGCTTTAAGTCTTCACATCGTTTCGTTTTCTCACATTTGAATACATGTTTATCATCACGTCCTATAATTTGACTTTCTTTAATTAATGAAAGTTAAATATACAACCAGACTGAAAAGATCTCGAAACAATGAAATATATCAATGATTAAAAATAATTACTTAGAGGTTAGAGTGTGATTTGACAAACAGGTGAACGATTGCGCTTTATTTATTAATCATTTATTGTGATTCATTCAGCAAGCATAAAATATGATTGCGTTTCATTGAGAAGAAAAACGAAAAAAAAAACAACAACAGTGATTGATATTTATTTTAAACGAACAATGGCACTAGACGAACAATGGCACTACACAAACAAAGGCACTAGACGAACATAGGCACTAGATAAATGTTTGTGTTTAAGTGAATATCCATGATGTTTTTGTTTAGCTAGACAATAAAAAGATTTTAATGCTTATTGCGGAAAAGAAAAAATCAATTTTACAATTATTATATTTTGTGTTTTGCAGAACAAGTGAGAAATTATTGTGTTTACTTGTTAGTTAAAAATGCGCATGTGTTGCTTTGATAAAATAATGAAAAGTAGTTATGCTTACTACAAAATAATGCGAGTAATATTCACAGACAAAAAAAAAACATTATCGTGAATCACCGAATCCCACAGTGGCACAGCGGTATGTCTGCGGATTTACAACGCTAGAAACCGGGTTTCGATGACCGTGTTGGGCAGATCACAGATAGCCCATTGTGTAGCTTTGTGCTTAACTTCAAACAAAGAATCACTGGAAATCACTGAATTATTGTGTTCATTGTTGAAAAGGTTTATTTTTGTTTTTTTAGAGGTAGGAATAATGATTTTATTTCACGGGTCAACGAGGGATATTTTGTTTCCCTTAGGGAAATATCGAAATTCTATATTTAAATTACTGTGTTTGAATTGGTAATGTTAATCCTATACATTTCATTTTTCACAAAACAATCATAAAAATCAAAGTGTTTGTTAAATTAATTGTATTAATAATTTTTATCACGTTCAGGTAACTTACTTGCACTGAGAAATAAGATTCAGCTCTGTTTAAAAAAGTTGAGCGAAAATTATATAAAAACATTTATTATAGCTAAATGAATGGCGTGTTAAACAATGCGGAAACACACAAACTAGTAGAGAACGTTATGATTCCCAATGAAACAACAAAACTATTAAAATAGTGTTCTATTTTGTCGTGAGATGGCGATATACTCACCTTAAGTTTTGATACAGCCGACTGAACTTCTTTAACAAACCTTTGCTGAGCAGCTATTTCAATCTTGGCAGTTTCCAGATCCGTCAGCAACTTACTGTGAGGCTATGGACAAATAAATACATGGTTGAGCGAGGGAAAAGGAACTCATGATTACTCAATCTCGGTAACGTTTTTTTTTTCTTCAGCTAGCCTGAAAACATTTTATCTTAAGTTTCAGAAACATAAAAATTTGCATAAAATAAAAACATTGACGTTTGGTCACATTAAAGAAAGGCATTTCAAACTGAACAACAGTACACAGAACATTAGTGATTGAATTATACTAAAGCAATACAGCTAACAATCAAAGCAGAACTTGGAAGTATATGATTTTAATTAAAAAAAAATACTCCGGAAAATGAACTATAGCTTCCATAAGCTGCAGACATTAGTTAATATCCTTACAACACTTAACGCCTATTGATCTTATGTTACGTCCTTATACGGTTTCAGCTATTCCAGCTTAATAAAACTCATTGTCATTTCACATTTTTTACACGGTTTCAAGATTATTCCAGCTTAATAAAACTCATTGTTATTTCACATGTTTTACACGGTTTCAAGACTATTTCAGCTTGTTTTACTTTTTCTAGGATTTCAAGCAGTTTAAAAAAATTCATTGTTGATTTATTTACTTCAGGGTTTCAATACTAGTCCAGTTTAAAAGATTTCCTTGTTGGTTTATTTACTTCAGAGTTTCAATATTAGTCCAGTTTAAGAGAGTTCTTTGTTGTTTCATTTTTCCCCAGTATTTAAAAAGTATTCCAGCTTCAGAAATTGTTACTGTGATTTTATTTTCTTCTAGGATCTCAAGACTAATTCAGCTTATCCGTTTTGTGTTGATGTTTCGTATCCATCCACGTGTTCTTAGGATAACATGGTTGTTGTAGCTTAACATGCATTGTTACTATTTGTTTTGGTATAAGAATTCCAACGAATGTTATTGTTATTCTATAATTTTTCAAGATAATAGAGTTCTTCTAGCTTCACTTGTACTTTTGCTTTTTCGTATTAATACAGAATTAACTTCGGTTAACAATTATTTTCAGATCTTTCCAACATTCTAGCTAACCCAATTTTTATATCTTTTCCGAATTCTAGATGTAACGTACTTTAAAGAATGTTATTGTAATATATTTTCTTAATGGATCTTAGAGTTAAACCAGTTTATCGGATGTAGCTGTTAATTGATAAAGGTGATATCATAAAAATCTCTAAGGGATTATAACTTTATTTTCTTGAGTGATACTATTTTTCAACCTTCCTGAAATTAGTATAATCCATCAATTTAAGAAACGTGATTATTACTTAATACAAACAATTATTTTATGTATCAGTATCAATTTCTACTATTATTGAAGGAACCCAGTATTACAAGATGTGTTACCTGGTTGCTATTATTACTCTAGAGTTTTAAAAGAACAATAATAAGTGTAAATATACTGTTTTAGAAGTTCAGATTTTTTCTAGTATCCTACATTATATGGATAGGACATATTGTATCGTCATAATCAGGCATAATGTTCTCCAGGTTGTACATTTGGGTATCTTAAAGGATTCTGCTGGTACTATTGCATTATTTGAATCGATGTTTACCAGATTTAACAATTAAACAGTTTAACTGATATTTTATTGCAGTCTCGAGGGATATTGATGTTATTCAATCAGTGAATAGAAGTAATGTCTATCAACTTGTACGTTTAAGGAATCTGCTGCTATTCTTGTATTTCGCGGTATATCGACGTTACTAAAGGAGCGTATAAGATTAATGCCTATCAGTTGTAAAGCTAAGGAGTCTTAAAATAATTTTCTGATTCTTGTTCTTGTAATGACTGAAATAGTCAGGAATTTTACCCTTCCATAATTTGTATATAACTGTAATCAGATATATATATATATATTCAGGTAAACGTTTTTAAATTTTTGCGTAGGTGTTCTGCATGAAGTGTGACATTCTTATTAACCATACTTCGAAATGTGGTAAATATGTACCAATCTTTTTAATTAGTTAAAGGTTGAGAACGCCAACGGCTAAAGACTCGCATCACTTTGGCTCTGTATATGTCTCTCCTGTAGAGAAGTGAGCCCATATCAAAGGATGTCACAGATATTTGTACAAATTGGCAGGAGTTAGACTTTTTTTTTCTTTAACTGTTATTTGGAACAGTCGATGGCGTATGCAGCATTGAATTTTGGTATCGAGCTTGCATTGACGTCAAAGTGTCACGGGGTCTATATTTATCGTTGAAGAATTACATTTGTTGAAATTGAAGAATGAATAATTTTGCCTGAATTTGGGCGATAAATTATGTTTCCCCTTGTTTTAGTCTCCTGTGGATGTGTATAGAAACCTTCTGTCAACAGCAGCCAGTAAATGAAATACTTAACGACACATTTTTTATTGCGAATAAATATTTTGTTTTATTTGTTCAGTTGTGCTTGTTTTTTACTTTTGATTTTCGAATTCGATTTATTCTGTGCATAGCATTTTCGGAATCTGTGTTTTGCGGACACATTTAAACTTATCTACTAGAAATAAGTAGAACTGAATACCACATTCTTATAGCGATACTACTTTATTACTTAGGCAGAAACAAGAGACGTTCATAATATCAAATTTTTATATTTACATTTTGACTCATATTTATATAGAAGAATCGTGATTGTGTACTCACCAAGGCGTAACGTGGTGAGCTTTGATAGATCGTACCTACTCGAGTCCAGTTGAAACGTTGGAGCAATGCTACACGAGCTGGATTAAACGCTGATTCACTTGGAACAACTCGAAAGAAATTGGGATAGTTTTCAACTGTGTACATCGGATGTGTATCTCCGTATGTGAGCTACAGAAATAAATAATAAAAAAAAGATTATGTTTGAATAATCACGCAATTAAAGAAAGCTGAAAAGAATAAATTCACTTCAGCCATGTTGTCTTCAATGTAAAGGTTAGTCTTTCTTAACTATAAAGACACAGTGCACAGTGACGTTATACACTATTTGTTACGTAGGTTTATACAACATGGTCTTACATAATGGTTAGAAATTTTTTACGGTCCAATAGTGAAAGTAAATTGATATGCCAGAAATCGAAGCTTCATTCATGCATGGATGAGAATCGTAAATTAAAAAAAAAAAGTTAATAACGATTGGCATAAACATTGTTTCTAGAAATAAAATATTATATATGGTAAGGATATGACTTATAAGTTTGTCAAACTACCTAAATAATTTCATATTTTATTTCATCTAATCCTTATGTCACGGAGAATGTTTGTTGCCATAGGCCACAGTCCATTTATCCGTGAACGATAGGATGGTACTTTAGTTGCCAGAGAGGAAGGAAAAGCTGAAGATTAGAAGTGTGACAACTAGCTTTTAATATGATTCTTAGGCAGATACATATTCGGCGAAGCTGTGTTAAAACGAGCAACTAGCCAATTTCTCGTCACTCAAATGGTAATTACATAAAAACTATTTCGCGTCTTAACTTCTGTATATTTAAAAAGCCCATTTATTCTCCACGTTCTTCCAAGAAATTATGAAATAATAATAAAAGGACGGTCTACTTCTACTACCCTACATCTTCACGTCGCTTTATATGATATTACACCACGTTAGATACATTTTAACGCAAAACGCTAAAGTTACGTCTTTCTTATTATAAAGACAATAAAGTTTACGTATTTCAAACAACTTTGAAGGCACAGTCTTTTACAAATAGCTAGGAAGAGTGGTGGACTTAACTCTGACTTATCTAGTCAGAGTGGTGAACTTAACTGTGTCAGTTAAGTCTACTACTATTCCTAGAGAAGGCACAGTTAATTCCACCACCCTTACTAGAGATGGCACAGTTAAGTCCAGCACTCATACTAGAGAATTGAGAAGGCACAGTTAAGTCTATTACTATTCCTAGAGAAGGCACAGTTAAGTCTACTACTATTCCTAGAGAAGGCACAGTTAAGTCCACCACCCTTCCAAGAGAAGTCAGAGTTAAGTCCACCACTCTCACTAGAGAAGGCAGAGTTAAGTCCACCACCCTTCCAAGAGAAGGCAGAGTTAAGTCCACCACTCTGACTATAGAACTCACAGTAAATTCCACCACTCTCACTAGAGAAGGAACAGTTATGTCCACCACGCTGACTATAGAAGGCACAGTTAAGTCCACGACCTCTCACTAGAGAACGCACAGTTAAGTAAGCACTTTCACTAGAGAGGACACAGTTAAGTCCACCACTTTCACTAGAGAAAGCACGGTTAAGTCCACCATTCTTACTAGAGAAGGCACTGTTATGTCCACCACTCTCACTTGAGAAGGCATGTGAGAGCGATGGACTTAACTGTGCCTTCTCTAGGAAGAGTGGTGGACTTAACTGTGAGTGGGGTGGATTTAACTGTGCCTTCTCTAGTGATCCAACAGTTTAGTCTGTTTCCACTGGAGTAATAAAAAATAAATAGCTAGAGTACGTCATGGCTTCATTACCAGTACAAACGTCTAATGCCCAGCACAAATAGTATAAAAGAAGTCTTCTTGGGATCCTGAGATCTAAAACGACAATGAAGAAAAAAACACACTAACAACACTGAAATGGTTGATCGACGTAGAAAGATTTAACTTAAAACGCATAACAGAGACTTACAACCTTCAAAAACAGATGGATGTTGCCACTTTATTTACTATGGTACAGGAGGCTGTTTTTGGGTCAGATGGGAATTCGTACGATGGTATTTTTATTATAAACAAATGTTAATTGTTGTTATTTACTTGTTACTTTACTTGTTGAGCACACATTATATCATCCATGCTCTTCGCGATATTAGAAAATGCAGGGAATATTTGCAAGGACAACAAATCTGAGATTTTAACTCTGATGAAGTCTTATTATGTCATCAAACGTTTTATGAGAAAAAGTATTTAAAGTTTATATTCGTAAAGTTTTTCCTTTATACTATTTTTTATATTTTTATGCGTTATTTTATGTGTTACAATATTTAAAGAAATGAGAGCCACTGTACATTATAAGAATGAAAAGTATGATTGGAGAATGATGGCATGTAGTAACCCTTGAGGCGTTTTTGTATATTTGTTTGTATGGGTTACCTGTGATGTGCCCATCAAGAGCATCGAAACCCGCTTTTTAGCGTTCATAAGCCCTTAAACTTACCGAGCCACTGGAAGTGGGCAATTCTTAAGATCAACAGAAATAGTGCATCTATTTTACATGAAAGACGTAATGCAGACCTTTTTGACACAATTTCAAATAGTCCAGCGGTATGTCTGCTGACTTACAACGCTAGAAGCCGGGTTTCGATACCCGTTGTGGGCAGAGAACAGATAGCCCATTGTGCAGTTTTGCACTTAACAACAAATAAACAAATATTTTAGTTATATAAAAGGTATTGAGAAGCTTAGATAAAGCAAAATTTTCATAAAAAATTACTGTGCATATTTATTTGTTAAAATCAACAGTGGTAAGAACACATTTCATTGGAAATTTTATATAATAGGCCCATAAAAACAGTTAAACCTTTTTATATGTATAAATAAAAGTAGTTAATAACCTGAATACCAGTGGTTAATTAGATAAACAAGAGGGAATCCTCAATAGCCGCGGTACTTGAACTTCCTTTAGGCAGGATTAAAAAGTAATTTAGAGTAAATTAATGTATGAGACCTGTTTTTCTTTTTTATTAGCTATAATTTTGTGCGCTACCAAGCTTGGAGTGCGCGTGTATCCGATTCGATTTTATTACTCATCAGGACCTCTACCAGCCTACCCTCAAATTGAAATTATTTTTGGCAAGATTAGAATAAATGAATCTAGGTGACTTTGGGTGTGGTCAAATACATCGATCGAAAAGGTATGACCTCCTGAGTTCAAAACTGTATTTATATCTAAATCGGTCAAGAAATTTGGAGCTGTGAGCTATACGTTTGTACTTGAAAACTAAAAACAAAAAACTCCGAGTCATTCTATGAGCCAACTTGCCGCGTCTGAAAAAAACAACTCTCAGGAATCCTCTCTGAAAGCGAGAACTTTCGAAAGAAGTGTTTTTCTTAGACTACACACATAATGTTTGTCTCTAACGTAAATGATACTAATGTTTTCTGATAAGTCTAAAGAAATAAAAATGTCTCTAAGAGCAGAAAAAGAAATAAATGCATCATCACAATTAGATTAACTGCATGTGATATTTTCTGTCTGAATCAGAACGTTTTTGACAAAAGTAACCAAAGCTCTGAAAAACGATGGAAAGAAATGTAGGTGCCTAAGTGCAACGAGTAATTGAACAAATCACATTGAGTTGTGTTCTGTCAAGTTTACGGGAGAGTTCACAGAAATAAATTTCTTATAATTCTAATAAAAACCGCATAGCATTTTATTTTCAACAATCTTCTTCAATCTTCAACAATCACATTCTAAAGTGGTCGTTCATCTTTCAACCTTTTACTTGCCGAAATTTCAGCCACTGGAAGGAAGTGCATTTCACATTGTTAGGAAATGTAATTTCCTTCTTGTTTCCTGCTTGAGACTGGATCAAAAACTTGATGTAAGTTTCTCACTCAAAGAATTATGAATTTGAATGTTTTCGATAAATAATGTGTTTGTTTGTAGTTTAAGCACAAAGTTACACAATGGACTATCTGTTCTCTTCACACCACGGGTATCGAAACCTGGTTTCTAGCGTTATAAGTCCGCAGACATTCCTCTGTGACACTAAATAATGTGAAACTATAAATTAAGTTATTTTGAGGCAAGGTGGATAACAGGTATTTTGCACTCTCTGAGTTTATACTTTTTGGAGTACGAATGCTTCACAAATACTCAGAACGAACTGAGTCATTGAAAAATAAAATGCACACAAACATGTATACATATATCCATATAAGCGTAACCGTTTACAGTACCCCATAATGATTGTGTAAAATATTTCATGAAATCAAAAACAAGAACTATTGGAAGATTTATTACGATTAATAGGTTTCTAGTTAACGGTATAGAAAAAATTATTTATCATATTGTATTCTAGTTATGGTAAGGTTTCGTGTGATAAAATTTAGATCTGAAGTTTTGTATCAACACGCTGAAAAATAACAAATTCAACACGAGAAAGGTCAAGATTAAAAACTCATTTTTTATTAAAAATATCAAGAAAGAGGTTGGGCTTTTATGTGAAACATGATCAACCAATTGTTTTAGTTTCAAGCAGTAGAATGAGAATGAATTATATTTGCAATAAGTCATTAGTATTAGGCGTATTATATTTTAACACTGTATTCTTTATCTATTACTTTAAATATATTAAAAAAACTAGAAAGTGTATAATAATAGTATTCCAAACACACCATGTTTGCCATAATCATTGTTGACGACGTTTCTTTCAATCCAGAGCTCATCAGGCCGAATGGGACAAAACAAACTCAGTAGTTGTCGGAACACTATTTAAGTAAACCATTTGTTACAACAACAGTTGTTATGGTGAAAATGCATTTTCCAAAATGGCTTAGCATGATTATAATTAATTATATCCAAGCTGCAGTACAGGGGCACTCCAAATACGTCTTCCAATGTTATACTTCACTGAACTAGTTATGGGAAATTCAAGACTGTGTAGCATTAATAAGTAACAATTCAGAATGATGATACTGTAATTCATTTCATGAATAGAGGATCCAAAGTCAAGAAATATATTGTTTTAAGTTTCTTATCCAGTTTCCTACTATCTTAACAGGCTTAGCTCATCTTCTGAACTTCATTATAAATTATAGAAACATCATCGTTAAAAAAACAATTTTGACCAAAATACAGCTTTATTACAAAGTTAACATTATGTTAATCAA